TAAAAAAAGGCAATCAAGTAATACAAAGCTACCAGGGGCATAATCTCAAGATAAAAAAGTAAAAGGATATTTGATTGATTGATTCCTTGCATTTATATACTGCTCATCTAGTGGCAAAGCCCCTACTTTGGGTGGTTTGTGAAACAGAGAAACAACCAAACCACCATCCTGCCAAAAGGCAAAACAATCCCCACTTCTCTGGCGACAGCAGCAAAATAACAAATAAACAAAATAGCTTAAGGGTCTCTCTCCCTATCTCTGGGGGAGGATTTTGCAAAATGCCTTTCTATAAAAGCTCTGTTTTTACCAATTTTCAGAAGGCTGGAACAGAAGGAGCCTGGAGCACATCCACTGGCAGTGTGTTCTACACTGTCACAGCCACCACCGAGAAGGCCCAGTTCCTAGTGGCAGTTTTCTGGGGCTTCTTCAGGGTGACCATCTGAAGGAAAGGCTGGCACGGGCAGAAGATCTTAAAGGGAGGCGCTCCACCAGATAACAAGGTCCCAAACTCTCAAGGGCTTTGTTATATGCTGTCAAGTCACATCCAACTTGTAGTGAATCTCATAGGATTTCTGATTCCTATGATATTTTTATTTATTTTTATTTATTTTATTTATATCTCGCCTATCTAGTCCCTCAGGACCACTCTAGGCGGCTTACAACAGATGTATAACAATATAAGTAAAACAATTTTAAATAAAGGGAAAAACATTAAACAAGATGGGGCAAACACTAGGAGAGGAGAAAAGGGAAACGATAATGTTCAAGATGAGGTTTTACCACGACCAAACTCCCACAGCTAAGCAGAGGTTTGAACCCAGATCTCCTGAGTCCTACACCTCCACTCGATCCACCAGCCACACTGACTCTCACATGTATATGTCTAAATTCCTGAATTTCTAGAGATCACCCTATTATTGGGGGGAAATGGCTTATTATCCATAAACATGTGTGCTAGGGTGAACCTGTTAGTTTTGAAAGTATCACTGAACTCTTGGTCATGCAGCAACAAGCTAACGTGGTTCCATCCCTGTATACCAGGAGTCTTGTGGAGCCCTCAAAAATTCTTACCCTTACGATAATGCAGACTGCAGTGCAATTAATAAAACACACAAAAATGTTGTCTCAGTTGGTAGATTGTTACATGCAGGACTTCGAAGCATGGGTAAGAGATGTAAGGAACTGATGAAACTCAAGAATACAGAAGCCATTTTGTACAGATAAGAGGCATAAGGCAAGGAGGATCTGGGTAACGTGACTTCTGTTGAACTCCTATTCAACTACAACTCTCGGAATACCCCAAAAGCTGTCATTCCCTCAAAAAGTAAGGTGGGGAGGAAGGAACAAACAAACACACACGACAGTGAGAGAAATTGTAGGAAGGGCCAGCGAAGGATGGAACATGGGGAGGCAACTTGAGTGAGGACCTGAGCCTGGCTTCCTTGAGAGGAGACCCAAACCCTAGAGAAAATAGTCATCAGCTAGATTTCACCTGTCACCCCACACCCCTTTGCTCGGGGCATTGTGTCTTGCTCTCCTTCTGCCCTCACTTATAGTTTCACAAGAAGCCTGTGAGGTAAGTCAGGCTCAAAGAGAGCCAGTGGCACAATGTCAACCCGTGGGGTTTGTGGCTCTGTGTAGCCTCTTAAATGTGGATCTCCCAGGCCCAAGTGAGCAACAGCAGCCCTCCAGATGGATTTCTGCCTGCAGGTGGCACAAGCCTCCCCTCCTCCTGGATACACACCTTTACATGGTTGTGAGAAGCCAAGAGGAAAGTCATAAGTGCAGGAGACCCAAGCAGGGGTCAGGGAACTTTTTTACCTTTTACCCCCTAAAAAATTTATATATACCGACATTACCCCCCTTGATTTGAAAGGAAGGATCTCGGTCACACGCGGCCAGTCAAGCACCGTCGCCGAACCCTTGCCTCCCGTGCCCAGGCCTCCTCCTCCACCACCTGATGGGGTTGCGCTCAGTCCTTGGCCCCGTGGGGGCGGCTCCCTTTTTCCGCCGGCGGGTGGCTCCTGGGCAGCCATCAAAGAGCAGCAGGTGGCCCACCCTCCGGGAGCACCCAACGCCGCCTCCCGCTCCAGGCACCGGCTCTGGTAGCTGCTCGCTGGGGCGGCCGTGGGCCTCGCCATTGAAGGGCCGTGACAGCTGGCACGCTGAGGGCAAGAGGCTCCTCCTGGCTGGGACGCTCCAGCCACTCACCCCGGCCTTGCCCTTCACCGGGGCCTATCGCCGGCCCTCATCTGCTGTGGTTCGGTTGCAGCCCGGCCGGAGAAGGGAGTGATCGGGGCGCCAAGGACCCCCCCTTCCAGGCAGAGGAGGAGGAGAAGGAGGGAAGGGGTTAGGGTCGCATCCTCATTACCCCCAGGATTTTCATTTTACCCCATTTTGGGGTAATTTACCCGTTCCCTGACCACTGCCCAAGGGGGAAGGGTCAAAGCTGAGACCCCAGACAGAGATGAAGCCATCCTCGCTGGGATTAGTTGAAGATACAAAAACCTGAAATAATATGGTTGCCTCTGTGTGCACACAGTAAATAATTACTGTTAATATTTACTGTGTTCAGCAGTAAATAATCCCATTCAAACTCGTGCTAAGTAGGAGTCGATACACCCCTGCCATCCTTTAAAGTGCATCAGAGGAATCCCAAATTAAAAAATCAGCTGTGCTAGTAGGTCTTTCCTGACATCTCGCATCCTACAGCAAAACCCATGGTTCACAGAGAGCTTCCAAAGCATCAGAGGGATCTCGTTGTTAAAAAGGTATCAGTCAGGAGAAGGGTGCAAAAGAATTTCCGAGGCATTAGATATACCATGGAACACAGCTATCATCAAGTGGAGAAAATATGGCACAACAGTGACATTACCAAGAACTGAACGTCCCTGCAAAAGTGATGAAATGACTAGAAGAAAATCGATCAGGGAGGCTGCCAAGAGGCCTACAGCAATGTTAAAGGAGCTGCAGGAATATCTGGCAGGTACTGGCTGTGTGGGACATGACAACAATCTCTCGTATTCTTCCTATGTCTGGGCTATGGGGTAGAGGGGCAAGATGGAGGCCTTTTCTTACAAAGAAAAACATCCAAGGCTGGCTAAATTTGGCAAAAACACATCTGAAGTCTCCCAAAAGCATGTGAGGGAAAGTGCTATGGTGTTATGGTCTGATGAAACTAAGGTTGAACTTTACGACCCTAATTCTAAGAGAGATGTTTGGCGCAAAAACAACACTGCGCATCACCCACAGTGAAGCATGGTGGTGGCAGCATCATGCTTTGGGGCTGTTTTCCTTCAGCTGGGACAGGGACCTTAGTCAAGCTAGAGAGAATTATGAACAGTTCCAAATACCAGTCAATATTGGCACCAAACCTTCAGGCTTCTGCTAGAAAGCTGAACATGAGGAGGAACTTCACCTTCCAGCATGACAACAACCCAAAGCATACATCCAAATCAACAAGGGAATGGCTTCACCAGAAGATGATTAACGTTTTGGAATGGCCCAGCCAGAGCCCAGACCTGAATCCGATTGAATATCTGTGGGGTGATCTGAAGAGGGCTGTCCACAGGAGATGCCCTTGCAGTCTGACAGATTTGGAACGTTTTTGCAAAGAAGAGTGGGCAAATATTGCCAAGTCAATATGTGCCATACTGATAGACTCAAACCCAAAAAGGCTGTGCTGTAATAAAATCAAAAAGCACTTCAACAAAATATTGGTTTAAGGGTGAGCACACAGATGCAACCATATTATTAAAGTTTTTTATTTTTACTTCATCTAAAAGACTTCAGTTGTTCAACTGAGTTGTACAGTTCTTAGGTCTCATTAAAGATGGAAAAAGTTCTGAAATGATTTATCTTTGTCTCATTTTTTTTACCTCAGATACTCTTGACATTTTAACAGGGGTGTGTAAACTTTTTATATCCATTGTAAGTCAGAATTAACTTGACAGTAAACAATTATTATTAAGACAACTTCCTATGGTGCTAGTCCTCAGCAAGAATGCAGAAGACCTTGGCAAGTCATTTGCCAGTTTACTGCAAACCCTCTGCTTGCTTGTTAATGAGAGAACACCTCTCAAGTCCCTCTCCCTACTGAAGACCAAGTAGTTGCTACTGATTTAGCAGCTAAACGCTAGGAACAGTTGTTCTGAGCGTAACCACTGATCCATCTCGCCCAGTTTCATCAACTCTATAAGTCAGCAGCTTTGGCTGTTCTTGAGACCAATTGTTTCAACTGTCTTTGGTCCACACAGATCTACAAAACATGGCGAGGGAAAAGACACAAGACTGAAAGAAAAAAACAGAATGGCCTGGCTTCCACAAAGCTATTTGTTTTATTCAAAATATTTACCATACCTATTATTCTGCCAACACTGAAAGCCATTTAGGTCATAAATATCAATCTTAAAAAAATTTATTTTAATAAACATTTTTTTATAAAGTTAAAAAAAATAAAGCAAAACAAAGCATTAAAAACAAACAACAATGTAAATGTAGAAAATCAGCAAAGAAAGCCTGGACAACTTTGACCATAATAATCTTGTGCCTTCAAGTTAATGGTGACACATGAAAGGGTTGTCGTAAGTCAGAATTGATTGAATGGCAGATGATGATTATTATTATTTTATTTCTACTTAAATATGAAGTGACCAAGTGTCTAAAAAGGATTTATTGTTGTTTATTTATTTTATTTTAGTCATTAAGTCGTGTCCAACTCTTTGTGATCCCATGGACCAGAGCATGCCAGGCCCTCCTGTCTTCCACTGCCTCCCGGAGTTTGGTCAAATTCATGCTGGTAGCTTCGGTGACACTGTCCAACCATCTCGTCCTCTGTTGTCCCCCTTCTCCTTTTGCCTTCACAGATTGCTGCCTTGTCGTGGCTAAGGGGCTTGAGTAATTCAGAGAAGCTATGGGCTATGCCCGTGCAGGGACACCCAAGACGGACAGGTCATAGTGGAGAGTTCGGACTAAATGCGATCCACCAGGAGCAGGAACTGGCAATGCCACTCCAGTATCTTTGCCAAGAAAACCCCATGGACAGAAACAAAAGGCTTAAAAGGGATACCCCATGAGCAGTTGTGGCCAGAAATGCTGCTGGAGCAGCCAAGCTAAAGGGGAAAAATACCTTCTTAAAACTCTCTTTCTCACAGAAAAGTCACCAAATATTTTCTCCAACATTTCTCCACTACACGTATCACAGAAGCACCTTCTGCAGTATTTCTGTGAAAAGCGTTTGCGTGCAAAAACTGGGAAATTGATCTGAGCCCAATGGAGATGCACATCAAGTTTTAAATTATACCCAATCGCTGCTGTTCTTGTGGCTGTTTATCTTCAAGGGAATACTTTCAAAACAATCGGTTTGACAATATATGAGATGCTCATGGGAGAACATTTAGCCAAACTTATTTTGATTGGCCAAATGCTCACTTGTGCACCATTCTGAACAGGAGCATGTAAAGGGAATGGGAGTATGGTGGTCATTGTGTGGGGGAAAAGAACAAACCCTTCATTCTTTCTCCTGCCCTCAAATGTGACAGGTCTTAGAGCTTCTAATATAAGAAGCACACAAAGTCATTCCACAGAATGTAAGAGGCACACAAAGTCGTTCCACAAAATGGCAATAGTTCACTCCTGAATCACCACTTTTCTTTCCACAATGAAGACAGCCATGTCTGTAGTTCTAACCCCTGCTGGATTGGAAACCCCACTGATTGCCAGCAAGCAACCTCAAGTCGCCCCAGGTGACCAGTCAGAAAGCTAACTAGCAGGGCGTTCTGAGCTCCCACAAGATGTTGCCTCCAGCTGAAGCTGCTCCCCACATTCAAAAGCTCTGATATTGTCATTCAGCTTGTACGCTTTCTGAGGCGACCCACGTGACCCATGCTGATTTACATTTTGACTGAATGCAGGGCCTTTAGAGGATTTCTCACCAGCATGAACTCTCAGGTGGTAAATAAGACTGGGCTGTTTGGAAAAACCTCAGTTACAGTCTGTATTTTTATGCATTTTCTCCTCCGTGTGGATTCTTTGATGAGAAGCAAGATAGGTGCTCCGACTGAAACTGTTTCCGCACTCCATGCATTTGTGGGGTTTTTCTCCAGTGTGAATTCGCTGGTGTGCATTAAGGATTCCTTTCTGACTGAAGCTCTTGCCACACTCAATACACACATATGGCTTCTCGCCCGTGTGAATCCTACGGTGTTTAATGAGAGTGGACAGGTCACAAAAGCTTTTTCCACAGTATGAGCAGCTATACGGTTTCTCCCCAGTGTGGATCCTTTGGTGTGAAGCCAGGAGGTCGCTCCGAATGAAGCTCTTCCCACATTCCAAGCATTTATACGGTTTCTCTCCTGTGTGGATTCTCAGGTGTATTTTCAGGCTTGACTTATAACTGAAAAATTTCCCACAGACACTGCACTTATACTTTCTCTTTTCATTTTGTTTCTCTTCTGGAACAGACGTGTTATGGAATGTGACACTCTGGCAAACCATGGCGTTTTTTCCCCACTTATCGGTCTGGTACTTTCTTATCTTCCTCCTAGGACTTTCAAGGTTCATGTCCAGTTTTTGCTGCCCCACCCTTTCTGAGGGGGCCTCTGAGATGTCGTCTCTACTGTTTTCATTCTGCCAAATATCACCAGCTGAAATAAGTTCAAAAGGCAGATAAACAATCTCTACAGCAGGAAATGAACAAAAATAACCAAACCCATAAATAAGCTGAAAAAAAGTTGTCATTCTGCTAAATGATACATTTCTATACTGGTGGATGACAAAAGCAAAAAAAAAAAGCATGCTACTTATATACTGCCCCATAGCGCTTCAAGCACACTCTGGGAGGTTTAGAAGTTAATCATGCAGGCTACACATTGCCCCCCCCCAGCGAGCTGAGTGCTCATTTTACCGACCTTGGTGGGATAGAAGGCTGAGTGAACCTTGAGTTGGCTACCTGGGATTGAACCACAAGTCATGAGCACACTTTTGGCTGTAGGACTGGAGTTTAACCACTGCACCACAAGAAACCTCTTCCCACAGTCAACACAAAAATACTGCCTCATGCCTGATCCATCCTTTCTCCACCAGCCTGCTGTAGTTGCTTTCTGGTAATACAGTGGTGCCTCGCTTAGCGATGTTAATCGCTGCAGCAAAAATCGCTGCTAAGCGATTTCATCGCTAAGCAATTTTTAAAAGCCCATAGAAATGCATTAAAATACGTTTAATGCGTTCCGATGGGCTTAAAAACTAACCTTATGCGAAAATCCTCCATTGCAGCGGCCATTTTCGGTGCCTCTAAAGCAAGGCAGCACAGCGGGCGGCCATTTTGGAACTGCCGATCAGCTGGCCGAAAATGGGGGCTTTGTGATGATCACTTCCCTGTGATCATCGCAAAGTGAATTTCCCGCATAGGGGCCATCGCAAAGCAATCGCTTTTGCAATCACCAAAACAGCGTCACAAAGCGATTTCGCCGTAAAACGGTGCCATCGCTATGCGAGGCACCACTGTATACGAAGAGGAATTTCTTTGTGTTCACCTATTCTGAACTTCTAGTCACCCTTGGCAATCAGACATTGTAACAGCAAAGCTGGACTGTGGTTTTTTTTCAAAGACAAGTCCTACGTCTATCTTTCTACTTTTCTTGTTCCTTCTCAAATTTTATCTAACAGAGACAGACTTACCCCTTCCATAATTACGTTTTATTTATTTATT